GCCGTCGGCACTGCGCGCTTGTCGGGCTGCTCGTTTACCAAGTCCAACTTATTACCAGCGAGAGCGATGATGATGTTCTCATTCGCTTGTCGTTGCAGCTCCTTCACCCACGCCTTTGCCTTGTCCAGCGATGTCTGCAAGCGCTTGGGGTTAGTCACGCCATGGTGTATATGCGGCAGCGTGGGGAATTACGTACCGATTGGGTGATATCATAAACAACTACGGCGCAGTTGGCATTTCGGTAGTACATGGGCGCCAAAGACTTATATCTCTCCTGGCCGGCCGTATCCCAAATCTCAAACTTGACGGTGGTTTTGTCGTCGAGGGATATGGTCTGTGTAAGAAAAGCGGCGCCGATGGTCGATTCTCTGTATGAGTCGAATTGATCCTGGACGAGTATGAGCATCATGACTACATGGTCGGTGATGGAGGGAGTGCCCGCGAAGTACCTTAACGAATCTCAGCACTATCGAGCTCTGGGCCAGGCAGGTTAGCTTCATCAGTGTTCTCGGCGAGCGTCAAAGTCGGCATCGGTCCGTTACCTTTCCCACAGCAGATTCACCTGGGCGTGCGTCAGCGTGGACCAAAACTACACGGCCAGCGGCGGCAGATCTACTCACCTAACAAAACCAACTTGAACTGTGCAAAGCGAGTGTTCATGCCGCGGCTCGCAGCAGGCCCTGTCCGAGAAGCCATAGCGAGAGGGTCTGTGGTGCGAGTAGCCAAGGTGGGTGCAGATGGACGCTGCACGGGTGTTGCGGATCGAGGGACAAAGGAGGCCGATTGGGGGACGGCGTATCTTATCGGAACGGAGCTTGGTGTATACAGACTTCGACCGAAGACGGTGAGAGAGAGGGAGCTGAAGAAGGACAAGGCGACACGGCGAGGTGCTCGAGTGGCGACGGGGTGTCTTGGTAGCGGGAGTGAGTGGTGGTGATGAGAGAGACGGTCACTGCCTAGATGGGGCGTTTGATGAATTGAATGAAGTGAGGTCGATGGTCCCAGTGTGAGCTGAGTGGTGTAGGTAGTACGTGGTAGTGGGTAGGTACCTTAGGGAGTGGCTGAGCGTCTACCTATCATCAGTACTACCTAGGTACCAGGCTAGGTAGGATTGGCGCTGGGAAGTCGGGGCCTTGAGCCTGGCTCCGTCTTCAGGGTGTTATCCAGGGCGGCTAGCATGCCGTCAGATACCGGGTCAGGTGGTTGCAAAGTGCGCCGCATACAGTAAGAAACTTACCACGAATATAATCAACGCACTGTATGAAGCGCATCTGCCTGGACGGGCACCTGGACATGTGAAAGATACATGTAGGTACGTACCAGACTCAGTTGCTCCACATTGTACTGCTTATAGGAATAATGTAATGATAACACTTTCCCATACTCACCTACGTATTTCCCAGATTGGAACTCAACCCAAAGCTAAATAATCCACACAGTCGTCAGCCCAAGTTCCAACAATTCGATCGATACTCTCATCCAAGGCGTCCGGGCCAAGCGAGCGCCTGATTGTGCCCAGTCGCCGCCGCTGTTTCGACTTAGGGTCAGAGCCTGTCTGCTCGCCCTCGAAGTTATGAACTTGCGACAACTGGCGCTCTCTTCTTGCCCATCATGACGCTTCCCTATCGGGACATCAATGTCCACGTTGCCGCCGAGTCCTACACCTTCACCTCCCCCTCGTCACCCAATGCCCCAGCTCTGGTCATCGATCGGCCGACGGGCGACGTCCGCCTGAGCGAGACTGCCTCCGTCAACACCAAACGTGTCGCTCGCGTCTCTAGCATAGCCGGCATCCTGGGTCTCATTCGACTAAGACTAGGTAAGCTTTCCCATCCCAAGACAGCATGACCGTCGCGGCTGACCGGCGGGGAATAGACAAGTATGTCATCGTCATCACTAAGGCCCAACCCGTCGGCCGGCTCAAGGGACACATGGTGTACAAGGTGGTCTCGACCGACTTCCTCCCGATGCGAGAACGCCAGATCCGCGATCCTGATGAGGACCAATTCCTTTCCCTACTGAAATCCTTCATCATGACCGGCCCTATGTACTTCTCCTATTCGATTGATCTTACCAACAGCTTCCAAAGGCAGGCGTCTATTGACAACACCGCCCCTCTCTGGATGCGTGCCGATGATCGTTTCTTCTGGAATAGATTCGTCCAGAGCGACCTGATTGATTTTCGAAAGATGGGAAGTCGGTCCCAGCAGGGTCCACAGCCAGCCGCCGACCCTTTCATCTTACCCTTGATTTGGGGCACACTGGAAATACGGCCGACCACCTTGAAAGGCACACCTCTGACCATTGTCCTTATCACTAGAAAGTCACGGTACCGTGCTGGAACCAGATATTTCACGAGAGGTATCGACGACGCAGGGCACGCTGCCAATTACAATGAGACCGAGCAAGTTGTCGTTTTGAACGACGCTGGTGGTGGTCTAGGAGGATACGCAGGAAGCACCGATATGCAAAGTGGCAAGTTTGGGGCTTCTGGCGCGCGAGAAATGCAGATCTTGTCATACGTCCAAACTCGAGGAAGTGTGCCCGTTTACTGGTCGGAGATCAATGTTCTCAAGTATACCCCGAAACTACAAGTTCGCGGTATTGAAACTGCTTTCTCTGCCGCCAAGAAGCATTTCGACGAGCAAATTCGCATTTATGGTGACAATTATCTTGTCAACCTAGTCAATCAAAAAGGCCGCGAAAAGCGCGTGAAGGAAGCATATGAACAAATGGTAGAAATGCTCCTGACCTCAAAAAAGGAGTCCGTTACCAAAGACCACATCACGGATGAGAAATTCCGTGTTGTCGAGCCCGACACTACAAAGCAGGAATTCGACCGTTTGCACTATGTCTACTTCGATTTTCACCATGAGACCAAGGGACTCCAGATGCATCGCGCAATGATGCTTGTTGAGAAGTTACATGACGCATTGATAGCCCAACAGTATTTCAGAGGTGTTGATATGCCGGCTAACGGTGGGCTGGAGACGAGGAACTTCCAAACGAGCGTTGTACGGACAAATTGCATGGATTCACTTGACCGAACCAACGTAGTTCAGAGCATGTTAGCCAGGTGGACTCTGGATCGCATGTTTGCAGACGTGGGGCTGCTTCAACGAGGCGAGACTTTTGCCAGCGAGGACCCAGCATTCGAACTCCTTTTCCGCAACCTATGGGCGGACAATGCCGACACAGTATCCAAAGCATATGCTGGAACAGGTGCTATGAAAACAGACCTAACACGCTTGGGCAAGCGCACCAAACAAGGTACCTTCCAAGACGGCCGTATTGCCGTGACTCGATACTACCTAAACAACTTCCGAGACGGGCCCCGGCAAGATGCTTATGATCTGTTTCTGGGCGCTTATGAGCCCAGTACAGCTAATATCGGTTCGTCGCTCATATTTGCCGACCGCAGGCCAATCCTGATTCAGAGCATTCCCTATATTCTCGCTTTCAGCATATTCTTCGTCTTTCTGGGGCTGTTTAGCAGACGCCTACCGGATTCTACTGTCCTGCCCATGCGTCTTTTTATCTTTTTCTGGCTGATAGTGGCCGGCTGGTGTCTGAACTTTGTCCTTCAGAACGGCATGCTATTTGTAAGTATCTGAAACCTCGTCAACGCTTACGTGACAGTAGCCTTTACCTAACACCAGAAAATGTACTAATGCCCGTCTCAGGTGAATTGGCCAAAGCTGAACCCACGGCCATGGGCCATAGAAGGCTACCAAGAGACAATCGGAAAGATTAGAAAAGGCAAGGTGATAGGCCCATTCGTCGCAAGACATGAGCGCGGACTGAGCACGGCGAGATATCTCAATGCGGAGGAGGGAAAGAAGAGAATTGAATAACATACCAACACTGGTATCGTTTCTTATTGAGCACTCTGAAGTACCGGCACGTCTCACGAACTTGTTTCAATCGGCCAGAGCTTGATTCTTACTGCACATCTTTAAAGATAGATATAATTTAATGCACTAACTAATTCAGTATGTTTACTGTTTTACTTGAGTCTCTGTTACCCTTTTCCTGTTTCTCACTTCTTACATGGACGAGAAACAAAAATAGAAAACCAAGTAAAAGCAGAGCAAAATAGAAGCCCTCTCGATCGGGGAATCGAACCCCGGCCACCTGCGAACTGTATCATGACAAGCAGGTATCCTTACCACTAGACCAATCGAGATAGGTATGGTGTGTCGAAGACATCTTGATTAGTAATAATTGCGTGGCTTGATATATGGTATTTCTAACAAGAATATAGATGACATACATAGATGTAAACATTTGTACAACTGTCTTTTTTCTTTTTCTATCACCACGATCACTTTAGCTTCAAAGCGTTCATTGTGCTGTCATGGAATGTATTAAACATATGTTAATCAAACTTCTACCGCACTTCTTCCTGGTACATAACAGTACAGCATTGATATGTCTTCCCATAGTAATAAGAGCCCAGAATCATTCTATACATAGGACAACATTAACTAACCCTTGTGCTATTGTGAGACCTAACGAACTGGCCTCCTGAGGCATCTCGAGACTTCTCTGTGATTTAATAGAGCTAGCGTTTAACACTTACCAGCATTGCTGCCGTTTGGAAAGCCAACAAAGACCGTTTTTTTTTTCAGAAGCCCTTCGATAAACGGTTATTGTCTATTAGGGTTATCTCCGAGCTCATTAACGAAGCAGACTTTGTGACATAGTTTTATGCGTTGGTGGTTAGCCACGCAGCGTTGCCCTGCGACACCCAGTGTACCTGGCTTTTCTCCTCACATTTGCATTTTAGTACCATATACCGACCGGTAAGCTGTTTTCGGAAGCCTTGCCTTTTTTACAATGCCCTCGTATAATAAATAATCCGTATATATATATATATATATAACTTATACCGTGATAATATTATATTTATTTAATAGCTTTAACTTAAAAAAGTTGGCCTTTTTAATTTGTTTTTTTATTATCTTAAACATTGTAAAAAGAAATCTAAAAAACTATGTCGACCAGGACCCGATTCGAACGGATGCCCCCGAAGGGAATAGATATCTGCGAAATTTCTTTCGAGTCTATCGCTTTAGACCACTCAGCCACCTGGCCAATTGATGATTCGTGTTCACAATTTTAGCCTATTATAGCTAGCTGTAAGAAGTGGAGTGAGGTAACATAAACACAGCCAAGTGTTCATTTGTGCAAAACGTTGCTTTTCAATCTTGTTCCCTTTGATATAAACTAAACCCGGCTGTTCAATCTATTGGCAGTACATGTTTATACTTATAAGCATAATCAATGCATTTAAACGTAATGCGGAGCGTCCGAGCTGAAGGAACATCGGCTGGATTATGTATACGAGAGGGCGACTTGATATATATCGCGACGTCTACGTAATAAAAAGAAGAGCAGTTGAAGGAGCGATGAAGATTTCATGATCTAGCGAATTAAAGTGGAAAATGAACCAGACACTTAAGAATTTACTAATCAATCAAGGGAATATGCCATTCTGTAAGGACGCTCCTAACATTCCCACCCTTCGAATAAAAAGAGACAACGTTCGCGTCGTGATTACAAAACAAAATAGAAATGTATAAGACTATTCTGTACAGTTGTATTTTACATAGCACTTGCATGACGGTGCCGGTTTCATTATAGAATGCACCCAGTAAGCTATGGCGTGGTAAATATAACTCATCAGTATTGCTAACCTCTAAAGTCCGTCAATATGTCTCATATCAGGGAGGGCTGAATAGTCTCAAGCGAGATATTCGCCAATACCACCGAGACCCTCATTCATGAGAATTTTGTGCGATGGTATATGTGTAAGTCCACTGTGGACTCCTAGGTTTTAAACTCCAGTCTCGCGTTGTCAACATAGGCGACAATATGTGAAAGTTGTTGATATACAACTCTACATTCTTCACATCGTCCACTTATACGTACGTAGTGCATCAACACAGGTTTTAGATAGTCGATGATGCTTCGATACGTTGACCTGAATCTAACCTGCCCGGATAATGTATCTTTTATTTACCCCAACTAGTTCTGAGGTGGAGCTCTTAGAATGATAATTCCCAATCATTTTCTCATACCCTTCTTAATCGACAGTTGAGCCACGCCGGTATAGCGTTTTGTGAAGACGAGCTGATCTCAGTGTTAGATCCCAAAAGTGTCTCGGCGTAGAGAATGAACGAGGGACATGGATTGTCTACATCAATGTCTCTCGAGACGCTGGTACCGAACCTCGTAAAGGCGCTGAAGCGCGCTGAATGCTGTGGCACTTAGAATGTCTCGAATACGACGTAATAGCGGACTTCGGATACAGACAGACCGAATATAGCCTCTGAGAAAACAAGGGGGGCTAGAAAGCTTCCGCATGACCTCACAGATTGATTGCCCGTAATAGATCATTAACCTAGATTGAAGATTACGTCTAAAACCTTGCTCTAAGGTCAAAAGGAACAGATAGATAGAGACTAAGTGCTCCTAACTACTGCTATCATTAGCTCTCCCTGAGAGTATCTTATACAGTTGCTTCGCATACGCTTACTTAAAACACTCCTGGTGCACAATGTATGCACAACAACGATGGCATGTCGTCGAACTATAAGTGTACGATGAAGTTATTCGTAGAATGAGAGACATCGTCCCGCCCTGTCCAGCTACGAGATAACGCATTTATCTTAGATCGCGTACTATTTTAAACATTATTACCCGTTTAGTACGGCCAGGACTTATTCCCGTTTTCTTTTCTTTGCTCACTGCGTAAATATAGAAAAGGGATGTAGAAATGCATGATTAAGTAGCGGTCGGTATACTTACTATAATATTAAGTGATAAATACCTCCAGGGAGCAGGCGAGGCAGGTAGGACACTCATCCCTTGATACCACCAAAGCGGTAGCAATTCGCGCCACAGTATGATTAACAGCATCAGACTACTATAAATTGTCCGAAGATGCTTGGCTGCTGGCCACATGGACGTTTCTCCACCTTTTAAGTATCTAGATTACATGTTTACGTAGGTACGTAAGAAGCTTGGACAAGGTGCTTCTGTCACCAAGACACCTAATCCCTTGAGGCTTGCACGATTTCCTCTTATATACTAGTTCCATCTCCGTTATTGCAACTGGACTTGTGATTACAGGCTTAGGTTTACGCCTTTTCTTTTTTATGGTTGAAAGAAAATCGCATTAAACAAGTAGTTCGTGTACCAAGTGGGTATAAAGCCTGTAACTAGGATGCTCGGACAATGATGATGAATCCCTGGTGCAATGACTCCCACGCTGTCCGGCTTGTTTCCCGCTAAATTGACGCCTGCGCGAAATGCTTCCCTTTTAGGAAATAGGACTGACCGAACAACCGCAAGAGCTCATGATCATGGATGTTGTTTTGACGAGCTAAGAAAGACATTTCGGGTCCGGAAAGACTAGCTAGATGGATTTTGTTATAAGAGTCGTCGTGCAGTCTCATCCAAAAAAACTCAAAACTCCAAGTACTCTCCTACCATCTCAAATCGCTATTTTCTATTCATGCTCCCACCCGTACACAATCTCATACAAATCTGCTGATATAGACCACCGCCTCCGTCCTCTTTTATATACAACAACATGCCCACAAGCAAATTCCGTGCCATAATCATTGGCGGGGGGCCAGTCGGTCTTGCCGTCGCCAACGGCTTGGACAGAGCAGGCCTAGACTTCCTAATCGTCGAGAAATACCCTAGCATCATATCAGAGTCAGGAGCATGTATCATGATCTTGCCACATACTGCGAGAATATTCGACCAGTTAGGGATCCTTGGGAATTGCGAGGGTCGTTACATACCCGTACAAAGCAAGGCGGTGATACGTCTTGACGGTACACCGATGAGAGCCGGCCCCATCTTCGACGAATTCTCAGAAAAGTACGTTAATTCTGCGATGACTGTCAATAGCTCTGTTCTAATTTGAAGTCTAGTCATGGCTACGAGTGTATGAACTTCCCACGGCCCTTATTGGTTCAGACACTACTTGAGGGCTTGGGTGCAAGCAAGAGCAAGATTCGCACAGGTGCAGGTGTCAAAGACATCGAAGTGACCGAGAAGGGAGTGCGAGTTCACCTAACAGATGGAAGCTTCGAGGACGGTTCTATTGTGGTTGGCACCGATGGCGTCCACTCGGAAACGAGAGCCATCATGCAGAAGATAGCTGAAGATGCGGGCGAGGGTTTCGCCAAAGAGGAAGACCCTATTGTAGTTAACTATCAGATCATGGTATGTTCAATTCGCCTGTTACTTGTCTCATCCTGTCCCTACCTAGTCTAGTATTGTCGAGATCCTAGCTGATACTATCTACACAGTACGGGCGAGCGAAGTATGTCCCCGGCGTCAAAACCGGGGAGTTCTTTGAGACACATGGCACTTATAGGAGTTCGCAGATATCAGCAGACAAGAACCGCATGCACTTCGGCATCTACCGGAAGTTGCCGAACCCTACAACCGTAGTGAAAAAGGAGTACAGCAAGGAAGAGGTGGCCGAGTTCGTGGAAGCCTTTTCCGACGTCAACGTCATGCCGAACCTGTCATTTCCGGAGCTCTACAAGAACTGCGAATGGACTAAGCTCGTCAACCATCCCGAAGGCTTGATGAAACACTGGTACTACAAGCGAGTGGTGCTAGCCGGCGATTCATCGGTTCAGATGACTGCTGCTATTGGAATGGGCGTGAATAACGGCATTCAGTCTGCTGTTTTATTGGTGAACAAGATCAATGAGGTTTTGAAGAACAATGCCAATCCCAGCACGGCAACGTTTGAAAGTGCTTTCGAGGAATACCAGGTCAGTATACTAAAATCTCTAGGCCTCCCTGTGTTTCAGAAACGAAATTGTTAGGTCGGACGAGTTCTGCTCTTATCACTCACGCAAGCTCCGAAATACTCGACCTTATTGGCCACGAGTCATAATTGCTGATCAGATTATCTCAATAGAACGCTCGCCGCAAGGAGTCGCAGGTCACATGCGACTTCGCAGCAAAGGTAATCCGCGCCAATACCTGGGACAGCTATCTGGCTTGGTTTTTTGGCGATGTTGTCTTGCCTTGGATGATGACGGATGAAAAGCTTGCCGTGAAAGCTGGCGACATGTTTCGAAAGATGCACAAGTTCGATTTCATAAAATCAGAACTGAAAACAGGGAGGATCCCATGGTCTGATAACAACATATAGGAAGTCACCTCACCGCGGTTATTAGCTGTCATCCCAAAGCTTTGGCCTACAAAATCTGAGCTGGAGGTTTTCGCTTCGGGGCGTCATGTATCTGATACGAAGCGGGGATGGCCCATTGACAGTGGACGAACTTCTATCCCGAGACAGTGTGTCTCATTTTAATCGAGACGGACGAGCACAGAGTGATTTGGGCCCAGGAATTGGTGAAGCAGAAATATCTCTTCTCTATGGAGGTGTGGCAAAGAGCACCGAAGGACAGAAGATTCGTGAGTCATCATCTGTGATATGTTTTCAATTAAGATTATGGATCGCAGATTATCGACACACAGATGTATTAATTAGAGCAGAAATAGATCATGTATAATATGAGGTAGATGTTAGACGAAGATTCGCTACTTTCTTGAGTTTGATTTGGTTTTGGCGAGGTATCTCGCCCCATCAAGCCTCTGGCAACTTTACATACAGTAAAGACCTTAAAAAAAGGACGAGAAGAAAAAAAGGGCATAAGAAAGTGATCGAGATACAATCCGCACTGGAAACTATATTTGAATTGTCCTTGTAGATTGTATTCGACCTAAGGATAAGGCGAGATAGTGACCTAGCACCTACAAATTAAGCACGCAAGACTCTACGAGCCTGCTATGTGAAGCGGTATCGATTCCTAACAAGTGAGAGGTCATGATAAAAACTACTTGTGATCACAATGAGACGTCTTTCTCCTTTAGCCCGGCCTAGGAATGGTTACCGGAGTGTAACGACGGCGTGATATCTGCATATCATAATTATATAGCCTCAAAATGAAGCCAACACATTTTCGTCAATGGAACATACATTGCAGATACCTTTCCAGTGGCGCGCGTCATCTTTTAAGTGAGTTGTTATACGTCATGATTACAAGCGAAGT